TGCTAGTTTGGAAAGAAAACTATTTGTATGTCCATTTTTTTTCATTCCGTCTTACTAATTACATTCTATTTTCGTTTATTCAACTTTTTTTTGTTTTTCATTGATCTGATTTTTATTTATTCAGCTGAAAATATTAATAAAACTAATCTTCAAATTTTTTTTTTTTTTGTTTTTAAAATAAATTTAAAAATAAAATTTTGTTTTCTAAAGATGACATTTCCTTCATTCTATCTCATTATAAAACAATGTCATAATCAATGGCGTTCATCATTATTTCGTACAATTATTGTTATTAATCAACGACAATTATCAACAATAGGAAATGAAAAAAAAGATTCTCAAAGACAAGAAAAGGAAATTCTTGTACAATCTCAATATAATCAAATTCAAGTAACTAAATTTACACAAAAAGGTATAGCAATTTTAATATAAAATATTTCTTATTCATATTAGATTTCTTCATTACAGCACAACAAGCTGCTAAAGATACGGTTTATTCGCTTGTTGTCGTAGCTGGAGTTGTTGCATTAGGTGGATTATGTTATCTAATGCTACACGAACTCTACTCAAGAGAAACACCTAATGGTATTTATAAAGAAGCATCGAATATTTGTTTAGCTAATACTGATGTAAATTTATAATTAGAAAAAAAAAAAAACAATATTTATTTATACAATATTATTTCAAATAGGTACAAGAAGCATTAGGTAAACCAATTATAGTACATACAACACCTCAAATTGGTTCCATGCGGATTAATAATGTTCGGTAATATATAGAAATAATTATTTCATTCGATTTTACTTAGTTTAATAATAGATAATAATGAATGAATAAATAAACAAAAGATGCAATTATGTCGTTTTTAATAGTTAAAAGTAGTGAATTGATACAGATTTTTAGTAATAACTGATAAAATGTCTTCTAAATCTGATTCAAAGATGGATATGAGATAAGAGCAAAAGAAAAATGCACATTTAAAACAGTATAATCTAATTTTATCATAACATATCATGACAGAACATCTCTTATCGAAATTTTATTATTACAGTGAGGGGTCAAAAAAACATGTACATTTTTGTTTTTACGCATAAACGAATAATAAGGATACTCTGAAAATTTTCTCTCATATGTAGAGTTTTGTTCAGTTTTTTATGCTCTTTCA